CTGTAGACAATTGGACATCCCTCCACCAAAAGGTTACAAGGAAGGGATGTTTCAAACAGGGTGCAGTATAGCACCAATGAAACAGGCATCATTTCTCTAGATCCTGAATGCTTCCTCCCTCCCACTACCATGACCCAGTTCTACCTTACAAATCCGCTATACCAGAATACACACAGTGGTACAGATAAGAGCACTCAACACATGGAATTCAGTACAGATAAAACCCTCAGGAACAGTAGGAGTAGCTATATCATGAGGGTAAGGGGATGGTGGGGGTGGGTGGTGGAGAACGGAGTGAAAGGCAGAACCCATCACAAGGCTGGATATATAGCCCACCCCCCAGGGGTACAAATAACAGAAATGTAGGTGATGGAAGACAACAGACAGTGTAAGACATGAGATAAATAATAATAATACATAATTGATCAAGGATTCATGAGGGTGGGAGGGTGGGGGGGAAGAGGAGCTGATACTGAGGGCTCAAGTAGAAAGAAAATGTTTTGGATATGTTGATGGAAACATATGTACAAGTGTGCTTAATACAATTGAATGATGGACTGTTGTAAGATTTGTAAGAGCCCCCCCAATAAAATGATTAATAAGAAAAAATAATAAAGCCAATTCTAAAACAAACAAAATCAAAACCCTATTTCACTTGCCTTCACATAATCTTTTTTCTACTTGAAATCTATATTAAGGTATTAAGTTCCCTCAATAGATGTACAATTTTAGCCACAGTTCAGTGGAGGCAACAAAGAAAGACTTGCTAAGTTCTTCTGTCTTGCTTTTCTAAACTATACCAGGGATCTTGAGCTTTAATTATAGTGTAATCATTCTTAATAAAGGTTTTCAAATACAACTAGCTTAATTAAAATGCACTTTATCCTGTTATTTTCTGAGACAAATTCTGCTAAAAATAATAGCCCTTCATATATATATATATATATATATATATATTGTTATTTTCGAGTATATGTCATTTTTATCAGCATAAAAAAACACCATGAAAGGCAGTATCTTCATTTTAGAGATGAGAATGCTATATCTAAAGGTAGATAATTTGATGCTGAATGTTATATCACTGGTATTTCAAATACTAACAGGGTCACCCAAGGTAAACAGGCTTCAGCAGTTGCCAGACCAAGAACTGACTACAAAGAAGGAAAAGAAGGAGTAGGCTGTCCATTTCTGAAGAATCAGCCACTGAAAACCTTGAATTGCAATTTCAAATTTATTTATCAACCACTGAAGTTACAGATGAAGAAACTGAAAATTGTACCAACGTTTTCAACTTGAAACATGCAAACAAGATATATTGATAATTACTGGTGTTTGAATGCAAAAGTTGGAAACAGAGGATGAAACAGTAGTTGGAAATATAGCCTTGGTGATAGGAATGAAGCAGAAGATCACATGGCAGAATTTTGCAAGACCAACAACTTCATGTCAAATTCCTTTCTTTAACAACTTAAACACTGACTATACTCGTAGACTTTTCCAGATGAAATTCACAGAAATCAAATCAACTCTAACTGTGGGAAGAAACCATGGAGGAACTCACTATCAGCAGCTAAAAATGAAGCCAGACATTGACTGTGGAACAGACCATCAATTGCTCATTTGGAAGTTCAAGTTGAAGCTGAAAAACTTAAAACATGTCCACAACTGTGAGGCTGGCCCCAATCGGAGCCATGTTGATCCCCTCCCTAGAAGAATGTAGAGGACAGCACTGATGACGTAGGCTGGAGAGAATGGCTGGTTTGTCCTGACCACACGGGAGCAAACTGAGAGAGGACGAACCTCATCCTGGTCCACCAAGCTTTGATGATGATAAGCACAAAC